AAAAAAAAAAAAAAAAAAAAAAAAAAAAGAAGGAAAGAAAGAGAGAGAGGAAGGAGGGAGGGAAGAAGGGAAGGAGAGAGGGAGGGAAGGAAGGAAATGAAAAAGGAAATGAAACTGTGGCTCTGAGTATGTGCACTGGGGTGTAAGAGATCAATGTCAAGCCCTGAGAATACTGCATTGCTGTTTCACACCATCTGGTCTTTGCTTATACAGCCTCCTGTGAAACCCCTACGAACTTCAGACTCCCCATCTAGGAGTATAACTTCCTCCAAGAAGCCCTCCTTAACAGCCTTTACCATCATATTAAAATTTTATATTTATTATCCTGTCTTCCCTCCCAGACTATGAACTTTTCCAGAGCAGAGCTGGGTCTAATTCACCCTTTGGTGCCCAGTACCCAGCACAGTGCCTGCCACAAAGTAGACCCCCATAGTGACTACTTGATAAAATTCTGCCAGGAACGATGGCATGCACCTGTAGTTCCAGCTACTCAGGAGGCTGAGGCAAAAGGATCACTTGAGCCCAAGTTTCATTTCCTTTTTCATTTCCTTCCTTCCCTCCCTCTCTCCTTCCCTTCTTCCCTCCCTCCTTCCTCTCTCTCTTTCTTTCCTTCTTTTTTTTTTTTTTTTTTTTTTTTTGATCAGGGCCTCACTCTGTTGCCCAGGCTGGAGTGCAGCCTAGGCAACATAGAGACCTGATCTTTAATTTTTTTAAAAAAGTTCTATTGAACTGAAGGATACCCAGGCAGCAAAAAGGAACAGGCAAAAGTGCAGAAACAGGACTGCAGCAGGCATTAGATAAATAGCTGTGAACTATGAATTCCCAGTATGTCTAGGCCAGTGGGCATATTGACCTGGCTGGCACTGGTGACAGAGGACTGGAAATTGTCTGGCAAGTCCAAGGGACAAAGACAGTCCAGGGCACTGATTCCACCTCCCCTCACAGTGTGCATATCCTCGGGCTCAAAGGTCTCCCTGTTCAACCGCCTGCGCTCCCAGACCGTATCCACACGCTACCTCTCTGTGGAGGATGGAGCCTTCGTAGCCAGTGCGCGACAGTGGGCCGCCTTCACCCTCCACCTGGGTAATCACATCCACAGGTCCCCCGGCTGGGCCTGTCACATGCATTAGGTTATTTCGTCTATACCATAACTCTAAACTCTGCCCCATATAACTGAGACTCACAAACACTAAAAGCCTTGCCCATGGTCCCAGCAAGCCAGTGATTGATACAAGCTATTCTGTCTCCAATACCCATGCCCTTTCCCCTCATAGCAACTGAGCAGCCTGCCCCCAACCCCTGCCCCCAGGGGCAGACATTTGAGAGGATGGCCACAAATTATCTCCAGAATTAGAACCTTTCTTCAGCTTCAGCTACTCCCTTGAGTGCCAACCCTTCCTTCTAGGCCCATGTGTGACATGAGGAAGAGCCAGAGGCAAGAAGGCAGGGTTTGGGGAAGAAGCTTGGCGCCCCCGGAAAATTGTTCCTTCCTCTTTTTTTGATCCCCAGCTGATGAGCACTGTTCCCAGGGAGACTTCCCACCTCGAGAGGGCTATGTCCGCTACGGCTCCCTAGTGCAGCTGGTCTGTACTGTCACTGGCATCACACTGCCTCCTATGGTATGAGAGGGGGACATGGGAAGGGCGGCGTACAGGAGAGGTCCCCCTTTTACAGAGAGTATGGCCCACATACGCAGGGCTGAAGGGTGGGGCCCCAAGGCATGTTTTCACTTTGGGGCTACTCAGTGCTTTGTGGGACTGAACAGAGGTGAAGGGGAAGGGGGAATCTGCTAGTGCCCCCGTGCCTATCAGAGTAGCAGAGAGATGGCTGGGAAGGCAGCTTCTGAGCACCGAGGCACCTTGCCCCTACCATCATCCTTCCACTGTAGATAATCCGCAAAGTAGCCAAACAGTATGCGCTCCTTGATGTGGACGAGCCCATCTCCCAACTGCACAAGTGTGCATTCCAGTTTCCAGGCGGTCCTCCAGGAGGGGGTGGCACCTACTTATGCCTTGCCACGGAGAAGGTGGTGCAGTTCCAGGTGAGAAGTGGAGAAATACCACCACCAGGTATCCAGGAATGTGAAAATCCACAGAACCATAGATGTCAGATCATCATCATCGTCATCACAGTTACTGCTTACTGAGCAATACTGCTTGCCTCCCGTGGAATGTTAAAATCACTGACTCTTAGGACAGACTCAAAATATAGAAAAAGGGTTACAACTACTATTACTGAGCAATACTCCTCCCCAAAGAACTTTAGAATCATAAAATATTGGGATATAAAATTGGAGAATGAAAACAAAAATCATAATAGATAATAGTATTGAGAATTATTGAGCAAAGACTATTAGAATCATAGAATAATAACATATAGACTGTAGAAAATAATGATTTTTATTAGGCAATATTCCTCCCAAAAGAATATTATCATAGAAAGTTGAGACATAATTATATGTAGAAAATAATTATTGAGCAATATTCTTTCCCAAAGAATATTAAAACTGTACAATGTTAGGGCATAGATTTGCATATTAAAAAATATAACTCTAGAATCCTAAGAAAATAAGACCATTAGAAATCAACTAGCTTATTAACTCTTAAGTGAGAGAATGTCAGGGTCCTTTCCAGGCGCACAGGACAGGTGCACCACAGAGCCTAGGAATGGGACCGATTGAGCCTAAATGCAAAAGTACCAACACTATGTCACACACCCCCACCCCCATCCCCGCTTCCCGTTCCTGGTGGCCCCCATCCAGAGCCTCTGCCTCATCCCTCGGATCTCCTCACAGGCCTCTCCCTGCCCTAAGGAGGCAAACCGTGCGCTGCTCAACGACAGCTCTTGCTGGACCATCATCGGCACCGAGTCGGTGGAATTCTCCTTCAGCACCAGCCTGGCGTGTACGCGAGAGCCGGTCACTCCGGTGCCCCTCATCAGCACTCTAGAGGTGAAACGACGTTGGGGGGCGCTGGTTGGGGTGAGGACCCTCATGCACTGGGTGGTGCAGGTACTAGAGAGACAGGCGGCAGGTTCCCGGCCCTCTTCCCCCACCCCACCTGGTGCCAACCTCCCCCAGTTGAGTGGTGGGGGCGACGTGGCCACGCTGGAGCTTCACGGAGAGAACTTCCACGTGGGACTCAAGGTGTGGTTCGGGGACGTGGAGGCAGAAACCATGTACAGGTATGGGGAGGGGAGGCAGCCTCCCTCAGGCCGCGGGATGCGAGGGTACCTGACACCAGAGTCACCGCAGCCCTGACCCTGGTGCTCTCCAGGAGCCCGCGGTCCCTGGTGTGCGTGGTGCCCGACGTGGCGGCTTTTGGCAGCGACTGGCGCTGGCTGCGCACTCCCATCACGGTGCCGGTGAGCCTGGTGCGCGCCGACGGGCTCTTCTACCCCAGTGCCTTCTCCTTCACCTACACCCCCGAATACAGCGCCAGGCCAGGTCCCCCTGGCGCCCCGGAGCCCGCCACCGATGCCGACGCACTCCTCGAGAGCATCCACCACGAATTCACGCGCACCAACTTCCACCTCTTCATCCAGACCTAGGCGCGGCGGGCGCCCCAGGGGCCACCACTGAGGAGGGCGCCCAGGCCAGGCGTGGTCCGTGTCTCCCATTCCCAGGCCCCGCTTCCTTGCCACTATGCTTCGCAAGTGCATCAGAAAGTTCCCCCTGGAAACTTGAACTTGGGGTCTTCCCTGGTTGACTCCACCCTCCGTATACATACAGGAAGACAGCCTGAGTGGTGCTCTCTTTGTGTTCAGTGTGTGTGACTGTCCCTGTCCTTGTCTCTTCTCACTGTCTCTAAATCACTCTCTCTTCCCCATCTCTATGTCCGTCTCTATTTGCATCTCTGCCTCAGTAACTTAGTCTGTAGATCTATTTGTGTGTCCCTATCCCTCCATCTTTGATGTTTGTCTCTCTCCAGCTGTCCTTGTGTCTTACAATTTCACACATTCTGAGGAGCCACACCTGGGGCATTTCCCTTCTTGTCCCCTCTTGAAGAGAAAACAGTTTCACACACCCAGGCATGGAGCACAGTCTCCTGGGGCATAGCCAGCATGTCCTGGAGCCCAACATCCTGCCTGGAGTATTAGATCTAACCTGGAGCGCCAAGATCCATCTGGAGCACAATCTCACCTGGAGCATCTGGTCCCACCTAGAGTACTGGGTCTCATTTGGAGCACTAAGTCTCACCTGGAATACTAGGTCTCACCTACAGCACTGGGTCTTACCTGGAGCACTGGGTTCAGCCTAGAGCACTGGGTCCCACCTGGAGCACTGGGTCCCATCTGGATCATTAGGTCTCACCTGGAGTACTAGGTCTCACCCAGGATAAGGTTCTATCTGGAGCACTGGGTCTCACCTGAAGTATTAGGTCTCATGGAACACTAGGTCTCACCTGTAGCACTAGGTCTCACCTAAAGCACTGGGTCCCACCTCGAGTAAGGTTCCACCTGGAACACTGGATCTCATCTGAAGTATTTAGCCTCACCTGCATGCAACACTGGGTCTCACCTGGAGGACTAGGTCTCACCTAAAGCACTGAGTCTCACCTGGAGCACTGGGTCTCACCTAGAGGGAGGTTTCACCTGGATCACTGGGTGTCACCTGGAGCACTGGGTCTCACCTAGAGTACTAGGTCCCACTCTGAGTAAGGTTTCACCTGGATCACTGGGTGTCACCTGGAGCACTGGGTCTCACCTAGAGTACTAGGTCCCACTCTGAGTAAGGTTTCACCTGGATCACTGGGTTTCACCTGAAGTATTAAGTCTCACCTGCAACACTGGGTCTCAGCTGGAACACTGGGTCTCACCTATAGCACTACATCTGACCTAAAGCACTGGGTCTCACCTGCAACACTGAGTCACACCTAGAGTAAGGTTCCACCTAGAGCACTGGTTCTAACCTGAAGTATTAGGTCTCACTTACAGAACTGGATCTCACCTGGAGTACTATGTCTCACCTAGAGCAATGTCTCTAGAGCACTGGGTCTCTTCTGGAGCACTGAGTCTCACCTAGAGTAAGGTCCCAACTTGAGAACCTGGGGCACAAGCACCTATTCCTCCCTACACTCCCTATGGCCACAACCAGACACAGTAACCTTGCCCATGTCTGCTCTCTGGTCCAGCTTTGGTGGATGGGCAGGTGCCTGGGACAGTGGTCAGGTCTTGCCATCTTAGCTGTCCCCCAGTCACTTCTCCCACAGGCCTAGTAGGATGCAATCCTGAGGATCAGGGTTTCCTGTATGAAAATCAACCTCTATCTGAGGCAGAGTTTGCTCTGTATGACACCCCCCCCACGGAAGGAAAGGCCCCAGTATACCTCCCCCTACCCTCACACACAGAAAAAGGGACCTGCACAGAAAAAAAAGACTGCAAGTCTGATGGAGCAGAGAACCTAACTTCTCTGTATGGGACCCACAGACAAAAATCACAACCTATTCCTGATCAACCTACCTACTTTCTACCTAGGCTAGGCCCTACAGGGAAGGAAAACAAAACAAAACAAAACGCTAGAAAACCAGGTTTGCGCTGTTGGACACAGATATTGTGGGTGCCAACTACCTGTACCAGCCTCTAGTGGTGCCCCATGGGAGAAGTGGTTTGAAGTGTGGTTTCTTGATTCTAGCCCCCTGAGGAAGAGCTTGACCTCCTGTGGGAGAACTCATTTCCTGTAAGACTCCTCCCCCAGAACATGGAAAGTCCCATGAGAAAGAAAAAGCTGATGATACCCAGAAGGGAGGAAATGGGGTTTGCTCTTCAGAGTTCTCAAAGTCTTTTCTAAGTCCTGTCACCTGCCATCAGCAGGCTGAAACCCACTATGTGGGGTGAGGAAGAAGCTTGTTCAAAGCCTCGTGTGGCCCCTGGAGGTGAATCCTGGCTGGAGGATGAGTGGACTGGGAAATATGCCGAAATGAGTGCCTACCTCAAGAGAGTGTGTGTTCACTGTCCCATGGTGGTGATGAAGTAGGTAGCCACCGTAAGGAGCCTGAGAGGATGGTACCACATAGGGATCTGGGACTCACAAGCCCATCCAGCCTTGCCCTCAAGGCTTCATCCTTCACTCACCAAGGCAGATATCTCAGAGGCCAAGAGCCCAAGTTGACACCAAAGTCCAGGCCCAGCCCTCTCAGGGGATCCTACAATCCTTGGTGTTGCCAATGCACCCGCCTGGAAGTTTGTGAGCAAAGCTCCAACCCTGGCCTGTCTTTTGAACTCCAGTGGCTGAACTTGTTCTTGAAGGTCCTCCGAGCCTTGACTCCCTCTGACATTAAACTCCTTCCCTCTCCAACCCATTTGCAGCACCCAATCTTCTATCTTCTTTCCTCCACACCACCTAGTCACCAAGGCCTAAGGACTTCCTCTCCTTCCACACTAGAATGTGCTCTTTTCCTCTTCCTCCACTACTGCCCTACCAGGTCATATGCCACCTCCTCCAACATTGAACTATCCCAGGTGGAACCAGTGCAAAATGAAAATTTATGGCCCCTTTGTTCAAAAATGATTAAAGATTTCAAGAAAGTGACAGAAGAGGATTAAACCAAGTGAAGAGCCCTTTTAAGCACAGGCCATACACCCAGGCACGAGGCTTTCATGTTGTATTTCCACAAATCTCACTGGACCTTGTCTGCTACTCACCTTGGGTTAAAGGCTTTAATATGTGTCCATTGTCCCCTCTAGGCTATGAGCTTCATGTGGAAAGAGTTATTATCTCTGTGTGTTGGTCTGGTGTATTGGTTTACACCTGTAATCCCAGCACTTTGGAAGGACAAGCAGGAGGATCGCTTGAGGCCAGGAGTTCAAGACTAGCCTGGGCAACAAAGCAAACCCTGTCCCCTAAAAAACTATATATATGTGTGTGTGTGTGTGTGTGTGTACATTTTATATATATATATAAATATATATAATATCTGCATGCCCTAGAGGGTTAATCACAATGCCTTGCACATTGAGTTTGTGCTCAATAAATAGCAAATTACATTACTTTGCATCAGCAGATATTTGAGTATTGCTAATACAAAGTAAAACCAGCAGGTGGTACTGTTCCCCTCTCCAGCATTGCATTTATTCATTTATTTTTTTATTTTTATTTTTTATCTTTTATTTATGTTAGGTTCCTTAAAGATAACCTTTCTCATGCTCACAGGATTCTTTGGGGGTTTATACACACAATTCTATGTACTTCTAGGGAATTTCCAAACAATCTAAAGCCTATTTATGGATTAGTGTAGTTCTCTTTACATTAGAATCATTGTTCGAGCTACAAAAACTAGATATATAGGTCATACCACAGATCAACTGTACTAAAATCTCTGAGGGTGAAGCCCAGGCACTTGTATTGTTTGAAAACCCACCCCTGTGATTCTAGTGAGCAGCCAGGGTTGAGAATCATTTCTCTAAACCAGGCACAGTAGCTCATGCCTATAATCCCTGTAATCGCAGCACTTTAAGAAGCTGAGGTGGGAGGATCACTTGAGGCCAGGATTTCAAGATCAGCCCGGGCTACATAGCAAGACCCCCGTATCTCTACTAAAAAAAAAGGAAAGAAAGAAAGAAGAAATGATTCCTCTAGTCAGTATTTCCTCCTTATTTAGATGGAAAAACTTAGCCTACAAAAAAGGAGGCTAAGGTCACAGCAGGTTAATAACAGAGCCTGTCACTGATTTGAATCCTGTACTGCTAACATAAGTCTGGGGCTCTGAGGTTCTCCTAATTTTCATTCTACCTGAGTGTAGGTGGAGTGTGTGTTTTGCAGGAGGTAATAGCCAGGGGGAGGGGGGATTGAACGAGGATAAGGCCAAAAATTTCTGTTCCAAATCTCCCAGTTCACCAGATCTCAGGCTGCCTGAGTTTCCATCATTAACAAGCTAGTCTCTGGGTTTAAGCACACTTACTTATTAAGTAAGGCTTTCTAACCACAGTGTGGGTAAAATTGTCAGACACCTTCCTCCCAGAGAGGATGTGGACAGCTAAGGGCACAGATCTGTGAAGATGGCAAAAGAGAGAGCAGGTGTTTTAAGGGAAGTGAAACCCATAAGACACCTACAAGGTTTGGCCAAGGGCCATCTCCGAGTATATGCAACCAAAAATGGCCCCCTAGTCAGACTTGGCTCTGTTCCAGATCCAAGGGTCAAAGACAGGCAGGGTAGCAGTGGCACAACAGTGCTTTCAGAGGTTATGGTAAATACCCGCTACAGCTGGTTGATTGTCACCGGGGGGCACCTTCACCTTTGCTATCTAATATAGCTTAATCATAAACCTTGTGGCATCCCATCATATTTACAGGTTCTGCCCACACTCAAGGAGAGGGAATTGTACGGGTTGTATACACCAGGAGGCTGAAATCTTAGGGTCATCTTAGAATTTTATCTACTTCCCAAAACCTATAGGGAATCATTGGCAGAGGGAGATCTGTTTGACTTGTGGGCCTCTCCACACCCCATGCAGCAGTCAGAGCTTCAGAAGACGGGTAGGATCATGAAAAAATGGCCCAACTTTGCATCCCCTACTCAATTCTCAGAAATAGTATTGTACCAATCAGAGTT